GACGGCGGGGCGCCTTCGGAGCCTTCTGCAAGGCCCGCCCCGTCTACACTTACTCAATATGAATACTACTCTCCCTCTTCCCCTGATGACGGCCTGGGAGTGTCCGACCCCCCCCCCCCCCGCGTACTGTTTTTGTTACACACAGGTTTCCCCGGAGTTGGGTTTTCGCCTGCATTTGTTTTTCAAAGTGCTGCTCTCGCTGAGGCGCCGGCCTCATGTTCGGGCCCCGCTCGTTCCGAATCGTGCTCCCGCTGCAGCGCTGGCCTCATTTCCGTGCTTCCGCTCGTTCCGAATCGTGCTCCCGCTGCAGCGCTGGCCTCATTTCCGCGCTTCCGCTCGTTTCGACTCGTGCTCCCGCTGCAGCGCTGGCGTCATTTCCCGTGCCATGCCACGGCATGCTATGCAATGCTCGGTTGATACTACGCTCTGCGGTGCTCTTCTACGCCATGCCATGCCGTGCTCTACAATGCATCGCGTACCCTTTCGGGATCATTGCCCTGCTCGACATCCGACTGTGCGAGTAGAGAGGGGACCTGCGCCATGGTAAGGGATGGGAGGGAGGGGTAGGATGTCAGATATGACGCGAGCACACCTAGCTTGGCCTCCCCCCCTCGGGCGCGCCCCCGAGATGCGGGCATGTCGGGGCGGCGCGGGGAACTTCGGGCAGGACATCTACGTTGTACTGCGGTGGGGGGGGGCTGAAGGCTCAGGCCAGGAACCCGCAGGTCCCTGGGGTATCTCAAAAAGCTCGGTGGGAACCCAGGGTGCCCCTGGATGCCCCCCTGAAGCCCCTCGGAACTCGCGCCGAATCCTTGAAAGGAACATATCCAGAAAAATCCAGAAGCCCCCTCGAGGCCCACAAAAGCCCCTTCGACAAACCATAAAAGCCAGAAGACTCCCTAGGGCCTCTTGGCCCCTTGGAGATTCTCGAGAGCTTCTTGGAATCCATCTGGGAGCACACTGGATGTCCCAAGAAGGCTTTGAAAGCTCACCGGGGGTGCAAAAAAATCGGATGCCCCTGGAGACGTCCTCAAAGCAGAAGGGTGGTCAATGTCACACCACGAGGCGTCGTAGACGAACAAACGAACGAGGGACAAATGGGACAGGTAAGGATCAACTAACAGGCATTTGGAAATAATGCTGCAGGCACCTCTGCCAGCACGCCAGCATGTCCCTTCTGTTTCCTTCGCCTCCTGCACGCGCCACATAGAACATCGCCCATACCCGAAATTATCCGTAACGATCACGCAGTGCAGCGTGCCAATGCGACAGAGGATGAGTTGCTCATTATGTCAGCGCGCCATCCGATAAAAATCGTCAGGCCTAAAAAAACAGCATGATAATGATTGATCAGCAGCTCGATGCGAGGTTGGGAAATACATGCACATGCGCACGCACACTTTCTGGGATGTTGGTACACAAATCGAGCCTATAAAAAAAGTAACTAAAACTAGCTTGGCTGAACGGAAAGCTTCAACTGAGCGAAGCAAAATGCTCTGATGCGTGAAGCCCGACTCGACAGCGGTCTTCTCCATGCCCTGCATGTTGCTGAGCAGGCTCGCCAAGCCATTTGGTCATCGCAAACCGCTTTTGGCCCCCTTCTAATACTACAACACATGTATTCAAAAAAAGGTGGGCGAACGACAGAACACTAGTTTCCTCCCTCTCCCAGCCCTCTCGTACCCCATCCGTTTGAATCTCTATATATGGACATACGACGTGCACTTGCAGTAAAAGCAGGGGGAAGTCAGCACATGCGACAATCCAGCCCACGGAACTGACCACTTACGAAGGGGGACAAGAGACGATGAGGAGGGCGCAAGCGCCTCTGTCGTGAAATCCATATTGGCATTAACACTGTCGTTGAAGCTGAGGTACCTGGCGCAGCTAGCGCTGGCGCGGCGAAGGAACGACAGAGCAGACCAAGGAGACATAACAAAGAGGAAATCTTAAGTGGCAGGCGATGGCGACGTTCATTGTAGGACGCGAACGTGCAATGTCATGGCGGCGAGCGCCGGGGGGGAAGTGAGAGAAGGGGCGGGACTTCTCAGAAGGCTCGGAAGTCCCCCGGCCGTCTGAGAAGTTTTCAGCTCAGCATTCCCCGAAGAAGGCGCGAGGGCTTCTGAGAAGTCCCGCCGCCTTCTGAGAAGGGCTTCTCCTTCTCATTTCCCCCCCTCGCTCGCCGCCGATTGACCGGCAGGCGATGGCGACGTCATTGTAGGACGCGGACGTGCAGTGTCAGCAGTGCCATCGCTGGGGGGTCTGACAGCTCAGACATAAACGCACCACACGACTGTTCACGAGGGTCAGACCCAGCTGGCAGAAATAAGAACGGGGGGAAGGGACGCTCGGAAATCTGCCTTGGCAGAGCTCGGAAGACGGTGAGACCCAAATGCCAGACAGGAGAGAGTGGGGGGAGGGACGCTCGGGAATCTGCTCGGAGAAAGCTCGGGGGGACTCCGCCTACTAGAGACCTGTGCTGATGCCCGAGAGCCCCGCTTTGGGATACGGGCAGCAGGGCCACCCAAGAACTCACGAGAACTCGGCGAAGGGAAATCCAGCCAACCTGCGCCTCTGATCCATCGTATTCGAAGATTGGAACAGCCAAATCGCTGATCAAAGCTGAGCGCATTGGACCAGCTCTCTGTTACTCTATTATCTCTCTCTCTCTCTCTCATTTTCTCTCGCTCTCTCTCTCTCTCTCTCTCACTCTCTCTCTCTCTCTCTCTCTCTCTCTCTCTCTCTATATATATATATATATATATATATATATTTCTCTCTCTCTTTCTCTCTCTCTCTCTCTCTCTCTCTATCTCTCTCTCTCTCTCTCTCTCTCTCTCTCTCTCTCTCTCTCTCTATATATATGTATATATCTCTCTATATATATGTGTGTATTGCTCGATGTGAATGTACAAAGATACACAAAGAAAGTAAACGATACATGTTTCCGTTTCTCGTTATGTTTATACCTAGATAAGTGTATAATGTTGCTATATATATATATGTATACATAGATGTGTGACTAAAAACATGTACACATGTGCGAATGTGATAATGAAAATCTTTTCACTACAAATTATGCACATATTGTTTATATACAAACAGACAGAAATGTGCAAACCTATTACGTAATCATAATACTTAGTGTATATGTGTGTCGATAAAATGTTATATATGTGCAAATCTATACGTACCTCAATATACATATATGTATATATATGTATATGTAGATGCACGTACTAGCATACAGCTAATATGTATACACATGTATATGAATAGATATGTGTGTGGCTGTTTGGCAATAGGACGGTTAGTACAAATATGTGTAAATACATGTAATTGTACATAACTATGTGTGCAAATATAAGTATATGTATACATACATCTATATGTATAGATAGATAGATAGATAGATAGATAGATAGATCCCCCGTGCCACTGAGCGATAAGTGGAATATCCTCAGGTCCATTCGAGCTCTGCATCGAATATTCAAATTCTTGGATTCCTGAACGCTGCCAGGCAACATTGGGGCTTGCTGCCCGACTTATGTGCTCGCGAAGGTCCTCAAGAAGCCCCCAAGAGGCCCCAAGGAGGCTCCCACGAGGCTCCCAAGAGGCCAAAGAGACTCCCAGGAGGCTTCCCAAGAGACCCCCAAGAGGCAGCCAAGAAGCCCCGAAGAGGCCCCACGAGGCCCCCCTCGAGGCTCCTTAGAGGCCCCCCAGGAGGCTTTCCAAGAGAGACTCCAAGGAGGCTTCCAAGAGGCCTCTCGTCAACGACCCAAGGAGGGGGGCAGGATGAAGGCCGCCAGATTTAGGTCGGGCATGTCCTCCTACCAGCAAATCTTGAAAGAAAAGTGTTTTCCGACATACTCCGACGGAATGACCCCACATGCTAATCGCCTTAGTGTGCATGATAACACTCATCATCGACGATGAACGACGGTGATGATGGCAGGATGCCAGGATACCAGAATACGACCTCTGGGACCTGTGGGACTCGTGGCAGCTGTGCGACTTGTGGGGCTTGTTGGACCTGTGGGGCCTGTGGGACCCGTGGGACCTGTAGGAGTTGCGAGCCCTGTGGGACGTGTGAGACTTGTGGGACTCGCGGGCCGTGTGGGACCTGTGCGACCTGCGGGGCCCGTGGGACATGTGGGACCAGTGGAACCCCCGGAACTTGTGAAGCCTGTCGGACCTGTGAGACCTATGGAGCCCGTGGGACCTGCAACCTGCGGGGCCCGTGGAACCTGCGGAGCTTGTGGAACCTGTGGGACCTGTGGCCCCAATGAGACCTGTGGGACCTGTGGGCCCCTTGGTATTTGTGGGACGTGTGGGACCTGCGCGACGTGTAGGACTTGTGCGCGAGGCAAAAACACCGTAGGACCTGTGCGACCTGCGGGGCCTGCATTGGGCCTGTGGGATCTGTGCGACATGTGCGACCTGTGGAACCTGTGAGACCAGTGGTACCTGTGAAACCTTTGGGACCTGTGCGACCTGAGGGAGGGAGTTCCCGCCTGAGAATTCCGCGCAATTCACTCGCAGGCGAGGCTTCCGCCTGCTACCCCCTCCATGCTCAAGCCTGTGGAGCCCAAAAGTGACGACAATTACAAGTTTGAGGATGACACTCTCGGATAAATAAAAAGTAAAAAAAAAAAAAAAAAAAAAAGCTGCGTGTCTCACAGGGAGAAGGCTCCCGCCTGAGACTTCTCCACAATTCACTCACAGACGAGGCTTCCGCCTGACACTCCCTCCAAATTCAGGCCTGAAGAGCCCAAAAGTGACGACAATTACAAGTTTGAGGATGACCCGCTCGGATTTGAAAAAGAATGAGCTGTGGGCCCCATAGGGAGGAGGCTCCAGCTCCCGCCTGAGACTTGCTCGGAATTCCCTCACAAACAAGGCTTCTGCCTGATACCCCCTCCAGGTGCAAGCCTGTGGAGCTCATCAAAAGTGGCGACAGGTTACAAGTTTGAGGATGAACCGCTCGGATTACAAAACATGAGCTGCGGGTCCCATTGTGAGGAGGCTCCCGCCTGAGACTTCCTCGCACTTCACTCACATACGAGGTTCCCGCCTGATATTCCCTCCGTATTCAGGCCTGGGGAGCCCAGAAGTGATGACAAGTGCAAGTTTGAGGATGACCCGCTCGGATCAAAAACAGGAGCTGCGCGCCCCATAGATACGAGACTCGCTGCGGGCCCCATTGCGAGGAGGCTCCCGCCTGAGACTTCCTCGCAATTCACATCACATACGAGGCTCCCGCCTAATATTCCCTCCGTAGTCAGGCCTGGGGAGCCCAGAAGTGATGACAAGTGCAAGTTTGAGGATGACCCGCTCGGATCAAAAACAGGAGCTGCGCGCCCCATAGATACGAGACTCGCTGCGGGCCCCATTGCGAGGAGGCTCCCGCCTGAGACTTCCTCGCAATTCACATCACATACGAGGCTCCCGCCTAATATTCCCTCCGTAGTCGGGCCTGGGGAGCCCAGAAGTGATGACAAGTGCAAGTTTGAGGATGACCCGCTCGGATCAAAAACATGAGCTGCGCGCCCCATAGATACGAGACTCGCTGCGGGCCCCATTGCGAGGAGGCTCCCGCCTGAGACTTCCTCGCAATTCACATCACATACGAGGCTCCCGCCTAATATTCCCTCCGTAGTCAGGCCTGGGAAGCCCAGAAGTGACGACAAGTGCAAGTTTGAGGATGACCCGCTCGGATCAAAAACATGAGTTGCGCGCCCCATAGATAAGAGACTCCCGCCTGAGACTTCCCTGCAATGCACTCACAGCCGAGGTTCCCGCCTGATACTTCTTCCCCCATATTCAAGCCAGGGGAGGCCAAAAGTGACGAGAATTACAGGTTTGAGGATGACCCACTCGGATAAAAAACATGAGCTGCGGGGCTCATAGGGAAGAGGCTCCCACCTGAGACTTCCCCGCAATTCACTCACAGACGAAGCTCCGCCTTATATTCCCTCCATATTCAAGCCTGGGGATGGCCCGCTCGGGTTCATGATGCTGATGTTGATGATGGTGGCGGTGATGATGATAATAAGAATCCAAATACTAATAGTAGTATTCATAATAATGATAATGTTAATAATAGTAGTAATAATAAAAATAAGTTTGACTATGGCTATGAAAACTAATAATAATAATAATAATGAAACTAATAATAATAATAATGGTATTATACTAATAATAATGATGATAATGATACGAATACTAGTAATAAAACTAATAAAAATAATAATCATAATAATAATAATGAAAACAATAATGAATTAACGAATAAGAATAATAATACTAATAATAATGAGGGTAATAATAATCATAAAAATAACAATAATAATAGTACTAATAATAAACATGATGATGATGAGAATGCTGATGGTGATGATGATGATGCGGATGTTTCTGCTGAGTGTGGGGGGATAGTGCTGATGTTGATGGTGGTGATAATGATGATGATGATGATGATGATGATGATGATGATGATGCTGATGGTGGTGGTGATGATGCTGATGATAATAATGATGATGATACAGGTCGCTTCATGTTCCTGCGCGGGGTGTCCAGAAAGAACAATAACCCCACTTAGGATGTGAGGGGGGAAATCACCAACAACATACCTTTCGTACGATGAAATCGTCACCAGACTCCTTGTTGACGGTTATTGAATGCTCTCCACGTACGAAGACATGCCCGACTTAACACTAGATAGGCGTACCCGACTGTCGGGAAAAAGGAATAGAAAATAAAGTAGAACAGCGTTGAAAGCAGATTGGCTTTGCGCCCGCCCCCCCAGATGAGGAGGGACGAGGGAAAACCGCTCGATGACTGAAGTAGGAAGGCGCCAAAAGTAGATCGGAATCAGAACGCGGGGGTTCAACAAAAAAATCGAATCATGTTCAACTACCGACGGGCAAACTGGATGGGACAAGAGGGGGGGGATGGGCAAGCTCAGCCAGGGGGTCAATCACGCACCTCGCCCCCCGGGCAAAAATACCCCATTCAGAGTACGTGCCTCACCGCACGTCGCCGGGTCCTCCTGGGGGGGAGCACGGAGCACCGCCTGCGGCCCAAGAAAGCCCTTCTCCCCGTGCACCAGAGCTGCTCACACAATTTTTGCGTCGGCGGCTAGGCAGGGGGCGTCTGCGCTGTCGATGGGATGCCTGAACGGGGATGCCGTTAGAGCAAATTGTGCTACCATGCAAGAGGAGAAGCGGGGGGAGGGCGCGGCCGAAAGGGGCGCGGACGGAGCGAGCGGCTCAGGGGGGACGGATCGCTCCCCGAAGAGCTGATCACACGAGTGGCAGGCGCACAAGGTGTCCAAGCCCCTCGCAGGGGCTGGGCTTCGGTCTCGCTCGTCGGGGCGGGAGGCGTTGGAGAGGAGGGGGCAGGAGAGGGGAGGGCAGGAGAGGGGAGGGCAGGAGCGAGGGTCTCAGTCCTTGCGCCGGATCCCGAAGTGCTCCACCGTGCCAGGGCTTGCCATGGTGCCCACCACGCCAGAATCGACGCGCTCAAGTGTAAAACTACGACACGGCACTCCAGGAGCAGTATGAAGCCTAGTCGGTCCCGCAAAAGAGCACTCTCACCCCCACGATCGGAATGATACCAGTCTTGGCGTGGCGAAGGCGGGCAGGCCCACTTCAGAGGGAGAAGATCGACAGAGACATACAGGCGAGCAAGCTCGGAGGAGGAGGAGGGCTTCGCTCGACGGGGCTCTCGCCACAAGTGTCCGCGGTTCCCAGCGGCGCCACACCCGCACACGCGGACGCCCAGAGGGGCGCTCCGAGAGCCGAGACACTGGCGGGTCGCCGAGGCGGCGCGGCCGCCGTCGTCGTCGTCGTCGTCGCCGTCGTCGTCGTCGTCGTCGTCGACGTCGCCGCCGCCGCCGTGGCCGCCGCCGCCGTCTTCGTCGTCGTCGCAGTCGTCGTCGTCGTCGCCGTCGCCGTCGTCATAATCGTCCTCGCCGTCGTCGTCGCCGTCGTCGTCGCCGTTTTCGTCGCCGTCATCGTCGTCTTCGCCGCCGTCGTCGTCGCCGTCATCGTCGTCGTCGCCGCCGTCGTCGCGGTCGCCGTCGCCGTCATCGTCACCGTCGTCGCCGCAGTCGTCGTCGCCGCCTTTGTCGTCGTCGTCGTCGTCGCCGTCGTCATCGCCGCCGTCGTCGCCGTCGACGTCCCCGTCGTCGTCGCCCGAACGAACACCCCGCGCACGGCGGCGAAGGGCACGTCATCCCGCGCCGCTGCCCGCCGGGCGGTGGGCGCCGGGAGGGATCAGCACCAACCCCTACCCGCGGAGGCCCCGCGCTATGTGCCCTGAGATCCTGGCGTCTCGGTGTCTTCGAGCCAGGCGTCTGCGCAGCATTTCGGGCCCCAGGGACCCTCACAGACAGATCTGGCTCGAAAAAGCAGTGGCCTCCTAGATGGGGTCGGACGATCGCACCGCATCGCCAATGCCTCGCCGATGCATCGCCGATACACTGGCGGTGCACCAACGACGCTGGCGATGCAGCTGCGACGTCGGCGCGAAGTAAATCGGGCCCCACATCGAGACGCAGCGGCGATGCATCGGCGATGCGGCGCGCTCCTCCGACCACATCTTCTCGGACCCCATCTAGGAGGCCTAGAAAAACTGGCGCGGAACGATTGGGTCTGGGGCTCCGGTGATGTTGCAGCTTTTCTGCAGCCACAGAATGACCCCAGGAACATCGAGCCCTTTTCGTGCCTGACATCTCCCTTGTCTCAGCGTCCTTACTGCAGGGCCCTGGGCGTGACTTTTAACACGACGCTGCACTCTCTTCTGGGTTCCAGCGTGTTTGTTCTACGATGTTTTAACGGGGATCCGGTGAGATTGCAACTTTTCTGCAGCGTCTTGGGATCCCAAAACCGTGCGGTGACAGACCGTGCGGTGACCTCGGAACCCCAGGAGACCTCACCGCACGGTCCGTCACTGCACGGTCTGGGGACCCTGGGGGCCCCTGTCGCCCGAGACGTCCTCGAAGAACGGCCCGAGTCCCAAAACCGTGCGGTGACCCCGAATCCCCACCGACTCACCACACGGTGTGTGTGGCCACCACCCCGTCTGGAGGCCTCGGCGGCGACGACAGGGGCGAATAGCCCAGGGGCGGGCACCTCACGCATTCGCCTGGGAGCCCTTTCGAAGACATAGATCATCGGCGCACCTGAATAACCCGGAGAAGCAATCAAGGAACCCCCCGGCGTTATCATTAGCACCGCGCCGTAATTAAATAATTATTTGGGGAATTTTCGCCGAGCGATATTATTAGCACCGCGCAAATGGAAGGAAAATAAATAATTCCAGCGCCCCGCCTCGGGTGGCATCCCAATCAGAATTGTAATGAGAATCCGTGGGACCCGTGCGATCTGGTGTACCCCCTCCTGGTGCCAGGATAACGCTTCCGGGTGCCGGGTGCGTTATCCTTTCACCGGAGAGGGGGGGGGGGGGTTCCTTAATCGCTTACTCGGGTTACATGTTCTGGGGCGCGCAAACATGGATTAGCGATCCATGGACTTGGCGCGCGGTCGCATAACATAGGTCGGGGGAGGTGCCCTCCCAAAAATGCGGCCAGTGCCGCCTCGCTCGGCGGCGGAAGTCCGCGACTCTCCGTGGTAATGGGACCCGTCGCCAATCCACGCCCCCCTGATCCATGTCTGCGATCGCCTGACATGTACTCCAGATTTCGTAATAAAGGGAGGGGGGTCTCGTTTCGGGGGGGGGTCTCTTCCAGGCTATCTTGGAGGGCCTGGGGGGGTCTGGGGACGATGTTTTGGAGGGTTCTCCCACGGGGGAGGTCTGAAATGGCTTGTCTTGGAGGGTCCAGACCCCCTCCCTTTTATTACGAGATCTGGAGTACTGCTCTCCCCTGGGCCTATTCGCCCCCATCGTCGCCTCTGGGGGCTCCCGACTTCCGCGACGTCGGATCTCGGGGTGTGCACGGGCCGGGGAGCCCGGCGGCGGCCCCTCGATAGATCCTGCGGAGAAGAAGAAACAACGCCACGGGCCCCCCCCCGACCAGCGGGCGAAAGGCGACGGGCGCAGTGCCGCGGCAGCGCGCCCCGGGCCAGGGGTGGGAGGAGGGGCATGCCTGCGCAGGTCTACACTGCTCCTCCTCCTCCTCCTCCTCCTCCTCCTCCTCCTCCTCCTCCTCCTCCTCCTCCTCCCCCTCCTCCTCCTCCTCCTCCCTCCTCCTCCTCCTCCTCCTCCTCCCCCTCCTCCTCCTCCTCCTCCTCCTCCTCCCCCTCCTCCTCCTCCTCCTCCTGCTGCTGCTGACAGCGAATATGGTGCTACCTTGATGCCATTCCCAGCCCTGCCCCTCCAAACAGGGAGGCACGGCCGGCATTGAAAGGAGGCGCCACTAGCCGACAGGGGGGGCTGCCCCAGGAGGCGAGGGAGAAACGCGGAGGGGGACGGCACGGGAGGGGCCAAGGGAGGAAAACACGCACGACGAGGCGAGAGAGAGGAGGGAAAGTTCCCAGCCATTCACCCAACCCCTCGAGTGCCCCCCTCAATGGGTACAGAACGCAGGACAAATAAAGGCGGGGAAGGAAATGGGGGGGTCACCAGGGGGGGTCGGTCAAAGGCCGGGGCCTACGGATCTGCGGTCGTTATGGGCACAAAAGAGGTGGTGAGTAAATGGAAGCCATTGAGGATCGTGGAAAGCGGTGAGACAGAGAAAGAATGTCTAGCCTGGCATTACAGTGAGTTGCTGGCCGCAGCTACTGGCACGTGGCTACTTGCGGCCACGGCCACCCTGGCCCTTGCCAGGACGGCCCGCGGTAAGCCCGAGCCCCCACCATCCCCCGTGCATCCTCCCCACATCACCCGTCCCGACCACAAGAGGGGGGGAGGTGAAGGTTAGCAGGACGAGGCAGGTGGAGAAGGTTGGGAGAGGGCGGTAGGTTCAGTTCTGCGAACAGAGGTCGGAGGCGCAGTCGGTAAAAACGGCGCGAGGACGATGCGGAGGATGAGGACGACGCGGAGGATGAGGATCAGGGTGTGCTCGGTGATGAGGGACAGTTGAAGCGTAGGCTGGAGATCGGGAAAACGTGTCTTTTGGTTATGACGATGTCGGGCGTGCGGGCACCTCGTACGGTCGCTCAGTGTTTGGTGGATAATGGCGAGGATGGCTATCGCCGTAGTTTAAGGGCGTAAGGCTGTTGATGGGCTCGTTGAGGCTGTCGATGAGCTTGGTCATCAACTCCTTGGCCAGGGTGATCTCCTTTTAGCTGTTGAGGGCCTGGTTGTAGCTGACGTTTTGTTTATCTACCACTGTAGTAAGGATGTCGAGCTTATCATGGATGTCGTTGTGTTGGGATCGGTATTATGTCATGATGTCTGCTACCAGGGCTTGTTTGGTGCTCCGCATGGTATTGGTCTGAGTGATGGTGCCCCGTATCCACAGGTCACTGTTGCTGTTGTAGGAAATGGTGAGGATTGTGACCTCGTCGCCCTCGTTCACCGTGATTGTGCCGCGGTCGATGGAGTCCGCCAGCTTAGTAAGAAACGAGTGGCGTATGGTTGCTACCATCGGGAAGGTGATTGCGCCGGGTTTGACCTTCTCGTGTGTGATTGTGATGATGGGAAACCAAGCATTGGGCCTCTGTTGTTCGACTTCTATGGCAGGTGGTTGGTTGTCGCATGCTGCTGGCGCACTGTCGCTGGAAGTCGGGTTGGAGCAGCTAGATTCACTAATGGGTGTGCGTCGCTCCTGTGAGTCGAGCTCGCGCTGTATGGTCTCGCCCTCGTAGTCGATCACGTGTGTCGGCTGTTCTACTGGGTCTTCTCTGACCGCCGGTAGGGTAAATGGTGCTTTGAATCTCGCAGGCTTCGCTGCTGGGATCGTGCCGCTGGGTTGGGTTGGTTGGCGCCTCTGGTTGGGAGTCGGTACTGGGGGTGCGGTTGATGGGGTTGCGCTGGTGGGTGCGTCTCCGACGCTCGTAGGTGCTTCGTTGTTCGGTAGGTGGCCCGCGTTGTTGACCTCGGTCATCGTCGCGTCGTCGTTATTGTGCACGGTGGCTTCGTGCGTGATTGATTGGGTGTCGAGTCGGTAGTATATCGATGTGCATCTCGCGCTCGAAGGTGACGTGGTCGACGCATGGTGCGAATATTGGTCTGGGTCTGGGGCTGCGCAGCTGCGCGATGCGGTGGATGGCGCGACTCACGCCTGGACGGCGTGGGCCTCCCTCCAGTACGGGTGCGACCACGAGCATGTTGTTGACGAAGGCGAGGAACGCCCTGGGTCCCTGGTTGACCTTGAGGTGGGAGAAGAAGACGCCGCCTGCGATGTCGCTGCACCATCGATGTGCTCGATCAACCCATTCGCGCGCTTCTTGTTCCTGTTGGCATTGGGCCCTTAGTTTGTCGAGTAAGTCGCGCATGGCACGCGCCCTTGCTTTGTCGACCTGCTTTCGTTTAACAAGGCATTCCTGCATTGGGGGGCGATCGCAGGGGGGGGGGGGGGGCGGGGATATCGGCCTGAGACTGTGGTAGAAGCAGCTGTCCTTGTTGATGCTGAAGGCCCCGAGGTTCTGGTCGGCTGGCTGTCGAGCGCAGCACGGGTCGTAGTTGACGGCCCCTGGGAACTTCCACTGGATGACGCCTGTCTGCAGGTTGTGGTAGCAAGCGGAGCCCCTGTTCACGTCGGCGAGGGCCTGCCAGCCTGGCGGCAGCATTGCATAGCGATTGGACTCGAGCCGTTGTCTGTACTTTAGCGGAGCGACTGGGTTGCGGAAGTATCGGGTGATCGGCGTCGTCGTTGCGGTTTGCACCGCGGCTCTGCCTGGGGGTGGCCCCGTCGGCGGCGGCGGCGGCTGGCAAGGTGTAGGAGACACGTTCTGGTTGTATATGAGCTGGAAGATAGTCGGCGTAGGTTAAGCGATGGTGGGTTGGACCTGTGGTGTTGACCTTCTCTGCGTAAGCTGCAGGCCAGCATTTGCTGGGATAGTGCGCGCTGGTCGTCGCGCCGGTTGTAGTCGGAGTTCTCGGAAGGCCGTATTCCAGTCGGGGAAGCAGCTCTGGGCCCAGATAATGGGCTGAAAGCCATCATTGCGTAGCTGTTGGTGGTGCTGAAGCAAATTGCGAGAGCTGCGGCTGTCCTCGCCCGCGGTGAGGTACTGTCTTGCTGCGAGGGCATCTTGCTCAGATAGCTTGTCGACGTCGCTGACCTTGATCAGGAGGATGCCACCCAGCTGGACTTCAGTAGGTCGCCTGTATGCTCGTGGTTCGGAATCAGGTTTCTGTCTTACCTCTGGCAATGCATCTCAGATGTCCATCTGGGGGAAATTCGACCTGGTGAATTATGATATCACCTTTATGGGCCTCCGCGTGGACTTTGGCAGTACCGTCGATTATTGTTGTGCATGTATCCGAGGCCGCGGTGATCTCCTGTAGCGCATGAGCTGGGTATTCGATGAGGGTGTTGTCGATGATGGAGGGCAACTCCGGGCTTTAGAATCGTCACGAGGTGGATCCCCTTGGTGGGTAGTGGTGGCGTTCAATGTGCGCCTGTCCATGCTGATAGGCGTGCGATTTCTCGTTGGTGGCATAAGTATACTGGTACTCGCTGTCCTCTGAGGTCGGCTTCTTCGCAGTGCAGTTCACCGGTCGCCTGTGGAGTTATGTGATGGCGGTCCACGGGGAGGATGTAGATGCCCGTGCATAGACGTCGTGCTCCTCCTCCGCGGGTTTCCACGATGTCTCTTGCATATGCGGCCAGTTTGCCCATCCCTGAGGTGGGGCGCAGCGTGCCGTCGATGTCGGAACTGCCACGATGCACGCCTTCTTGATGTATATGTCGATGCTGCTGTGGATGGCTTTTCGCTTGGACTCTTCGTAGTTGTGGCGCTTTCCCCTGCCTTTCCTGTCTGGGATCTGTAGTGTCTGGAGGCTCGCGAAGGGCTCTTCAAACTTGTTCATCCAAGGTGGTGCTTGTAGTAGTGGCAGCACAGTGTTTGCCAGCCTTTGGATGTCGTGCCACTCCAAGCTGTGGACGGGAATGTCCTTGCGGTCGCGGTCGTTTGCTGCATATTCTTGTGCGCGGTCTGTTGTAGCAGTGCGGTAGCGGAGCAATGACCAGGTCGATCCCTCCAGTGGCCCGTGTCCGCCCACAGCTCGTTGTTGGAATGCACGGTGAAGCTGTCAAGCACGGTGACCCAGCTCTCCTTGACCTTGTCCTTCCAGCACCCCCCAGCTGCTGCGAGATAGGCGATGGTGATGTGGCGTCGGTAGGTGGTGCGCACGAAGCCTCCCTCAACTGCCGCGGGGACGTAGATGCAACCCAGGTCGGGGTAGGCGTAGGTGTACTTGCGCGACAAGGTCTCAGACGTTATGATTCCTTGAGATAGCCTTACGATGCCTGTGCAAGGAGCAGCGCCTTGCGGTTCCGCGGGGTATAGATGAGCGCCGACTTGTTGCCACAGCCCTTGCTGTAGGACATGAGAGTCGGCACCCCGTCTTGCTGATACTCAGGTGGAGCCTCGCTTCGTGCCATGCGCAAGCTGGCTTAGCACCTGCAACTTGTTCCTGGTAGACGTGGTCTAAGTCCTTGACTCCGCTGGTGCAGTGAAGCTTGACCTCCTTGATGTCGGTGAACTTTGGTGTTTTGCCAAAAACGTCTGCAAGTATCCAGATGTATTCTTCTTAACCTTGATGGGGTACTGTAAGCCTCTGGGGATGTAGATCCAGCGGAGGCTTCATGGCGCGCTGTGCTCGGCAATGGGTGCGCCAAGTGCGCGCGGATCGGCTTATGCATGGGTCTTGAGCCGAAGCAGCGCTACGGCTGCGACGCGTGAGGTGGGAGCTTCTGCATAAACAGGATAGGCGATCGGACGCCACGGTGAGGCGCGCCAGAACCACTGCTGAAGACATTGGCTGTATGCAAAGCAATGGACCGCCGTGGCCCGCAACTTGCGGGGTGGCCACCATCCGTCGTCTGCCCAGTGTGCTCGTTGCCCCCTGAAGCTCTTGGTCGTGCAC